TATAACATGTTAACTTTCATCATAATATGTTAACCTTCACTATTACATATTAACTTTCACCATAATATGTTAACTTTCTTCGTAACATGTTAACTTCCAACTGAACATATTAACGTTCATCATAACATGTTAACATTCACCATAATAAAATTCTTATATTCTTACAGCTGATATTGCTTGAATACACGATATGATTAGACTTACAATCTTAGAACTTTCTGATTTTTTACATATTAACATTTCAGTTAGAACTTTCAGATTTTTTTAAAAATTAAACTCTATATATTAACAACAACTTGCATATGAATTTCCATACAACCACTATTTCGGGTGTTTCTTAGATTTATATATCAATGATAGATCATCTCGAGGGACTTTTAGTCTTTCAAACACATCAAATTTTAGTTCAAAAAAACTTGTTATGAAGAAAGTTAACATGTAACAGTAAAAGAACATATTATGATGAAAGTTAACATGTTCAGCTGAAAGTTAACATATTACGAGGAGAGTTAACATATAATGATGAAAGTTAACATAATTTATGAAGAAAGTTTAATACAACTACTCTCATTTTTTAACTTATGGAGATATTGAAAAACACTTAAAAGGATGTTTTACCCCATATTTATAAGTGCAAGTAACTCTCAACTGAACATGTTAACTTTCACTTGAAAACGTTAACTCTCAACTGAACATGTTAACCTTCTGCTGTATATGTTAATTTTCAGCCGAACATGTTAACGTCAATGTGAACATGTTAACTTTTGTTGAATATCATATCTCCATGATAGTGTTTTGATGATAACAATTTATATTGTGTGTGCACTAACTTTCATATGCAGATTTCAATATCAGAATCTGTACAAGTGCAAGTGGATATCAAGGCATTTTGAAGTGAAGAAAATGAAGAACAAAAGAGATAATGTATTTTACATTTTCTTTACTTAGAATAATTGTACAAGCCTTGATCACACACACGCACACACACACAATTTTAGAACACACTAACACAGGCTTAGTGTGTTGGTTAACTATAGAAATCCCCTATGTTAACCATTAGAATAGTAGTTAAAACTTAATTATAAAAACTCTTTTTTACTGAATTTTTAACCTTAGTAGTCGACTAATTAGAATAGTAGTAGACTACTCATGTATAGAACTCAAATACATGTTTCTGTCAATTTACAGTATAGTCGACTAATAAAGATTATAGTCGACTACTGAGGAGTTTGACAGAAACATAAGTTTCTGTATTTTTACAGTATAGTCGACTAATGAACATTATAGTCGACTACTGAACTCAAATTCCAATTTATAAGTTTCTGTCTTTTTACAGTGTAGTCGACTAATGACTACAGTAGTCGACTACTGAAGGAAAATATCAGTTTTCAAGTTTCTGTCAAATTTCAGTGTAGTCGACCAATGAGCATTATAGTCGACTACTGAGAATACTTTTCGAAAACACAGAGTCTGTTTGAACTCAGTGTAGTCGACTAATGACTACAGTAGTCGACTACAAAAGACAGTTTTCCAGTTTTCAGATTTTGAATTTCTGACAGTTTTTAGCCGTTTTTAAACTTTAAAAACTTGTCTTTTCAAGGGCTATATATGGGTTATTTGTTCAGAAAAATTGCATAGAGATACATACCCACAAGCTTTGATCTTTGTGCAATTTTTCAAGTGAAAAACATTCTGATTTTCTGAAAAAGAAGAGTTTCTGAAATTGCCTATATACTTTCATCAAAAACAAATCATTAGGCAATTTTACAGAGATTAAAAGTATCCTAAGCCACTGCTGCACTTCAATACACATTCAAGGCTTATAGGATCATTGTGTTCTTGTTACAACAAGTTTTCTCTCGGTTGTGAGAGGGTTAATCTCTTGGCTTAGAGATTGTGGTTCAAATTGGCAAGGAGTTTGTCAATTGGTGTTGCAATTTGCAGGGACTTACAAATTGGTCAGGTTTGCGTTTGATTTTGTAAGTTTATTCAAAATCATAGTGGAAACTCTCAAGCGGGATTTGCTTGGGGACTGGATGTACACCGGATTGGTGGAACCAGTATAAAATCCTTGTGTTTGTGTTTGCAAATTTCTGAGATTGCCATTTTTCTTTGTAATTTATTATCTACTTTGCAATAATTTTAAAAGAACACTATTCACCCCCCTCTAGTGTTCTAGTGTATCTATTTCAGATCCTACAACTTTCACTTGAATATGTTAACTCTCAGCTGAAAAAGTTAACTTTTTGTTATATATGTTAACTTTCATTCTAACATGTTGACTTTAACATGAACATGTTGACTTTAACATGAACATGTTAACTTTCATTTGAAGACGATAATTCTTACCTGAACATGTTAACTTTCAGATGTAAGAAAGTGATAATATGTTGCTACGAAAATGATAATATGCTGCTATAAAAATGTTATTGTGTATTCAAGCAATATCAGCTGTAAGAATGTAAGAAATTTTATGTAATGTACTTGTTTAGCTGGGGTATACTGTTTGTATTTCCTATAAAATTTCTTAGTGCTATAACTACTTTCAGCTAGATAACTTTCAGCTAAACATGTTAACTTTCATTTGACTATGTTAACTTTCAGGTGTATATGTTAACATTCAGGCTTATATGCTAACGTTTACGTGAACATGTTAACTATCAGCTATACATGTTAACTTTCATCTGCACACGTTAACTTTCTTATAAACATGTTAACTTTTAGCATAATATGTTAACTTTCACTATTACATGTCAACCTTCTTTATAACATGATAACATGCAACTAAATATGTTAACTTGTCAAATATACATGTTAAGTATTAGCTTTTCCTGTTGACATTCAAGTAAACATGTACCTTTTCATTTGAACTTATTAAATATATGTTGTATCGCAACAAAACGTATACATATGGTGGCAAAAATACCAGAAAATACAATAAGAACAATAAATGTCAAGCTTGATGCATTGTTTGTCATTCACATCAACTGTTTACACAACTAAACTAATATACACAATACAGACATGCACACAAGTTTTGGTTCAACCAAATAATTTTTAGAACAACTTTCTCCCATCCTTATCAAATATCTCTGCTTGATTCTTCTGTTGCCATCCTTCTATTGGAAGTTCAGCTGCTAGCCTGGCACGGATGACATCAGACTCAGCATCAGGAGTAGTTACTTGATTCATATCAACCCCATGGATTATAGCCTTCATATATAAGGGAACGAAAATTCCACAATAAAAATTGCATGATATAAAGTAGCAAGCTAGTTAGATATATGATACTGCATAAAATGAAAAAGATTAAATTTGTAAAATACTAACATTCCATTTGCACAACTCTCTCCGCAATATGAGATGCTTCCTTTCCAATATTGGTTACATCGTCATAATTGAAGCAACCAATATCCTCACCCCTATTAAAAGAATCAATACTATTTTTCCAATGAGTCAAACTACAACTACTTACTAAACTATCAAACTACAACTACTTACTAAACTATGTTTCTAGTAGCATCCACATCAGCAATTGTGTCAAATTAATCATATTTTGACCAGTTTTATTACTGTTCAAGATTAAAAAGTTGATATTATGGATTAAATTATTTTTAATAATCAATCATGAGAATGCTATCCGAACACTAGATTGCACCTCTAACACATGTAATTTGAGCAATGTGGAATTGTTTGGTTCGTCACAACTATGATCATAATGCAAATGATTGTAGCATGCATTTGCAATTGTAGCAGTTACTATCGCATGCAGTTGTAGTTGCTAATCTCACAATATCTTAGTTCAGTTCTACTTGTAGTGTTATAGTTATAATTTAGACCTCATTTGCTACTCTAAAGGGATGTGAGTGGGATTTACACCCAAGTCTAATGCGAATAGGTGTCCTTTTGTGATTGCAGTTGTAGCGGAATAAATAGCAGCAAGTGCCCCTAAATGTACCAGTCGCATGCAAATGCAATTATGATACTTGCCATCGTAGGCTTGTAGCTAACGAAACAGTGCTCTGGTTATTGCAGATGGGATATTTTTCGCAATCACAATAACTCAGAATGTGGCAGTTGCATGCAACTACAGTTACAACCGTTGAGTTGGGGGTGGAGCAAACACTCTTCTACATGATGGAGATGCAATGTCTTTTTTGCAATTACAGGAACCAAAAACACCGTAAATCAATTGACTAGTAAATATAACAAACTCAAAAAGATAACCCCACTGAAGAAAAGCTAAAAAAGAAACTCACTTGGGCATTTCATCAAACACCTACAACCCCCATCTCCTCCTCCCCCTTCTCAACCTCCCCCCACTTCCCATGGACATCCCACTCCTCATAATCCCTCTCGACCATCTTCGCCCCCTCCTCGTCTCCCAACCTTCTCAACCCCTAACCAAAAACCCAAACAAGTACTCGTTTGACACACACCCATCTCTCTTCATCAAACCATAAACCTTCTTTGTCTCCCTTCCCCTCCCCGCCCCCACCATCGCCTTCGAATAACCTAGACTGCCCCTCAAATCCTCCCCCTTCACCCCTCCCATTCCCCTCAACTCCCCCAAAACTCCATCAAGAACCTGACAATCTCGCTGTCGAGGTCGCCGTTGCTGTTGGTTCTTGACAGAGAGTTGAGGATGTCGGCGTAGAGAGAGAAGAGAGAAGAGAGAAGAGAGAGAGAGAGAGAGAGAGAGAGAGAGAGAGAGAGAGAGAGGTTTTGATTTTTGAAAAAATGTTTCTCTCAGTGCTGCCTTGGAAATGTAAATAGCGGCTGAAAATAATTGTTTCATTTATTAGGGGTTTTAGCACACAAAAAAAATAATACGGGGGCTGTGCCACGCCCCCTTTATTTTTTTGGGGACCTTGACACATTTTTTTTAAAGATAGATATGGGAAACTAATATAAGAAAAATCCTAAAAAAGAAAAAAAAACCAATTTTAAGTTAACATGTGATGTGAACCTTGGCATTTATTTTTCTGCTGAAAACAACAAAAATCGCACACCACAAGAAACTTTCTTCTCTCGTCGCTCTTGTTTATTCTGGTCCTAATCAGCCTACGTTGGGACTCAGCTGGCCAGTAGTTATATGATTGAAGCGCTAGAAATTGATTGAAGCTCTCAACGGCGGAAAAAAAGAGGGGGGAAAAAAGAAAATCAAGCCCATCATCGCCATGGGAACTGAGGATGAGAAGAAGCAGCAATATGAGAAGAAAGATGCAATTGTAGCTGTTAATCCAAAACCCAACAAGGGAGTAATCTCATCTGCAGTGGATTTGATTGAGAGAGCCATAGTTTACTTCATGCATGATTCATCGAAGCCTCATCACTGGCTCTCTGGTAATTTTGCACCCGTGAAGGATGAGACCCCACCTTGTACTGATCTCGAAGTTCGAGGCTCACTCCCTGTGAGTAATTGGATTGGGAAAAGATTGTTTTCTTTATAATGATTTGATTGCTTGGTTTTGATTTATTTGTTGGATCTTGCAGGAGTGCTTGAATGGAGAGTTTGTTAGAGTTGGGCCTAATCCCAAATTTGTGCCCGTGGCTGGATATCACTGGTATGTTTTTCTTTTATTTTATTTAGGATGTTCTTTATGTGAATTTTTAGATACCCATTAATTTTTATTAGGATAAAGACCATTTTTGGGTTTTGGGCAATTTTTTGCTTCATTTCTTTCTTTTATGGTCATTAACAAAGATGTAGTTCATCTTATCCTTAGGAATTATATCATTATTATTGTTATCATTATTTTGCGGATCGCGATAATTGCAAATTGCAGGCTTTGGGAGGCTTTAATTTGCATTCTTTCTAGTACTATCATAAATGCGAAAATTATATTTATCTTGAAGGATTCTGGAGGTTATGTGAGTCTTATTTCATTCTTTCCCTCTTTTCTCTGTGCAGGTTTGATGGAGATGGGTGAGTAGTCCAGTTCCTCATTTACATTTCCGCATAGTCGGTTTAATATTTGTTTGGTTATTTTGATGCATGTTTGTACTCCACAGATGATATCCTCTCAGCTGGAAACTCCAAATTATAAATAATTAATTTCTTTTCTTTTCCTACTTTATTTTTCTCAATCACATAGAAACGAGACTCATTTGTACAGCTACATTTGATCGTCGTGTACGGTTATACCCTCTTAGTATATGATACATGAGGAATATGAGACAGTTAAGATAATTCCAAGATAATTCTTCTGCTAAACTTTTCCATCTACGGTTGCCTTATTTTGCGGTTAATGTCGAGTTTCTATAAGCCATGTGTTAGACCAATATGAAGTTTCCTTGCTGATATTGTCAAGCTATTCATATCATATTGTTGCTAATTTCATGTGGATCATTTTCAATCTTGATGCTAGCTCATGGGATAAGAATTTCTAGTTTACTTTCCTATTGTTTCTGTTCTCACATTTAATATAAAGTTCCTGATGATAGGTGCATTTGTATGTCTATTCTAGGATTCTATCCACTCTCCTCTTCTCCGATCCTCACTTTCTACCACTTCTATGTGGCATGATGTGATTATGTGTAATATACGTTGCATCTATATTAGCATGTTGTTTATATATCATTCATATCTTAGATGAAATAATAAGTAAAGTTGACTTAGTATTTATGCATGAAGCCATTGATAACAAGTAATTGAGAAAATTTTTTAACTAAAGTTTTTTTTTTTAAATCTCTAATTCAATTCAATCCTATGTCTTGTCCTATTTTGAATTGTTAGGCACTGAAATTATCATGACTGTTCTTTATCCTGAATTGTACGTCCACTTTCCCTTAATATTAGCTATCTTCTAACTTTATCAGGCTGAAATTCTGATTCACAACTTTTCTTGTTTTCTTGCTTCAGAGTTGTCTGATTTAGTTGATTGTTAGTTTGTTACTGATTAGGCAATTAATGTTTCAACATTTCTCATGCATTTGGTGCTCTTTCTTTTGTCGACTAGGCAATTCCAACATCAAGCTGGTCTGTTTCTAGGATTTAATATGTTTGACAAATATATGCTTGATGTTTTTTTTATTCTTTTTACTATATTACAGAATGATTCATGGCATGCGTATCAAAAATGGGAAAGCAACTTATGTTTCTCGTTATGTTAAAACATCTCGGCTTAAGCAGGAAGAGTATTTTGGAGGAGCAAAATTCATGAAGGTAATCTAGCGTGGCCGTGATTCCTGATGAGCTTTTTGGTCGATCATGTTACTCCTGTACGGGGTTTTTCTCTTTCCACAGGCATTGTATTAGGTTAGGTAAAAAGCAATTTGAAATTGTTATGGTTGGCTTCTATAGTCTTTCCATAGTCTTTCTCTTAACCTTGGATTTGTATTTGGGTTATTGGTAAACCTAATGGTCATCGATGCAACATGAAGAACGGAGTCCATAAGTAATAAATCCTACTAAATCCTTGTTTTCTCATTTAAATACCCATTCTTTAGATACAAATCAGGCACCCATGGTTTTTCTCTTGTAAATACTTATTTGTGTTATCCTGTATATTCATATTTTTAGTTATTCCACTCACCAACTTTAACATCTTCCTCTCTCTTAAATTCGCCTTGAGCTTCCTCTTCTAACTGTCCAAATTTATAAATCATTTTTTATGAGAACTCAATTTGGAATCGTCAGCTACTTCACAAGTGTGTTCAATTGTCTACTAGACGTCTTTTTTCTATGTCTTTCTCTTTTTGAAAACCTGATTGGTAAAGCTGACAGTCATCGATGCAACATGAAGGACGGAGTCTGTAAGTAATAAATCCTACTAAATCCTTGTTTTCTTATGTAAATACCCATTCTTTAGATACAAAATAAATACCCATGTGTTTTCTCATGTAAGTACTTATTTGTGTTATCCTGTGTATTCATATTTTTAATTATTCCACTCACCAACTTTAACATCTTCGTTTCCTAAATTCACCTTGAGTTTCTTTTTCTTACTGTCCAAATTTATAAATCATTCTTTATGAGAACTGAATTTGGGATTGTCAGCTACTTCACAAAAATTTATAAATCGTTCTTTATGAGAACTGAATTTGGGATCGTCAGCTACTTCACAAGTGTGTTCAATTGTCTATTAGATGCCTTTTTTAGGTCTTTCTCTTTTTGGAAATAATTGGACCCGATAAATAGATAAATTTGTTTTCTCTATCATTATCTGAGTTTGTTAACTCCATATTTATATCTGACATCTGATATTGGTAGTGTCAACTTATCTGTTGACACAACACCCAACTGTTTGATAACGTCTTAGACTTTGATGTAAATGCCTTGTGAGAAGGGTGCAGCTTTATGCGATTCAACTGTTCAACTCTATCTCGCCTCAATTAGAAGTGCATATTTATAGTGGCCTGACATTACTTTCAGATTGGAGACTTGAAAGGACTCTTTGGATTGTTTATGGTCCAAATGCAATTACTTCGAGCCAAGCTGAAAATATTGGATGTTTCATATGGAACAGGGACAGGTAAGCTTGTCATGTATGTACAAGTGTTTAGTGAATATGTGACGTTCAGTTTGCGTGTGCTGATTTGAAGTTGCACATTTAAGATAATATGTTATGTTAGTATGCATCTGTCATCTGGTAGGAACAAGCTAGTCTTTAACTTTGTTTACTGTGTGATCTTATTCCAGGTAATACAGCTATGATATATCACCATGGTAAACTATTGGCTTTATCAGAAGCAGATAAACCTTGTGAGTCCTTTGATCAACTTACTTTTTTGTTGGATCCTTTCACCTATGTCTATTATCGTCGTTGTCATCACCATTATCAAGCTTTTCCCTTAAAAAAGGGATCGTCTCAGAAGTATTGACAATATGTTTACTACTTGATATTCACCTTGTTTCTCTACTAACTGGTATAAATTGTTTGCCAAGGCAACTATGAACAACTTATAACCTGGTTATAAAACCTTGAAGGTCTCTTGGCAGATAGGTTTACCTACCTTTTAGTTGTGGATTTTAAACTCATGAAACAAAGAGAAAGCCTCCGATTTCTGTAGACTGCAGAAGGGTCTAGTCAAAGAGGTAAGATGACATAATTTCTGAAGGAAATCACATTCATCTTTTATGCAAAAAATAAGGCAACGGGCTAATGGGATTAGATTCTCACATATATGACTGTTATGATTTCTTATAAAAATTCATGTGACTTTACCATTTAAATACCTTAATCGTTCCTCTTATTATAGTACTGCTCTTTCTATTCACAAGTTTCCTTGTCTCTGTTAGCCATGTAATTAAGCTAGAAATTCTAATCATAAAATTTTTATTCAATAATATTTTGATATTTTAATTCTCCAGATGTTGTTAAGGTTTTAGAAGACGGAGACTTACAAACTCTCGGGATGTTGGATTATGATAAGAGACTCCAACATTCATTCACTGCTCACCCAAAAGTTGACCCATTCACAGGTAAGCCCAAAATCATGGTCAGTCTCTTTCTATTATTTCTCTCCTTTTCTGCGTTTGGAGTATTAGGCTATACTCATATTGAGCAAGTTTAAATTTGTCTGTAGATGAGATGTTTACCTTTGGTTATGCGCACACACCTCCTTATTGTACTTATAGGGTCATTTCCAAGGATGGTGAAATGCATGACCCAGTACCTATTACAATCCCAGAAGCTGTTATGATGCATGACTTTGCTATCACTGAGAATTATGCCATCTTCATGGACCTGCCTTTGTGCTTCCGTCCAAAGGTAATAAACATCAAATGTTTATTTTATATATTTCATGAATTTAAGAGGATGGACATAAGAACTAGAAACTCCATAACTGCATCATGGTAGATAACTACTTTTACTTCATGGGAATCATGACCTCCTAAGCTTTATTGAAATGTGGCCATCTTATCTATTTTCAGGAAATGGTGAAGGGGCAGTTGATCTTTACATTTGACTCTACGAAAAAGGCTCGTTTTGGAATACTTCCAAGATACGCGAAAAGTGATACTCTAATTAGATGGTTTGAACTCCCTAATTGCTTCATATTCCATAACGGTGATTCCCTTGTCTTTAGAAATCTCTCTGGATTTTCCATGGCTTCTCATTCAAGAAAGTACTCTTCATATGCTTGAAATTCTCTTTGTAGTCACTACAATTATTTCATACTGCCTCCCAAGGAAGCATATTTAATGCTTGATATGCATGGAAGCGAGGAGGGCACAGTACCTACTTGAACTAGTATAAGACAGATCAAGTGAAAACAGGTCTGAATTATATAAAATAATCTTTTCAATGACCTCCTTCCATTGGCTAGCATTTGGTTCCAAACCAAGCTCCTGATACTCTACAGGTAGAATTTTAGAAAGGAAGCCCTTAGTTTAACTTGCATTAGCGTAAAAAAAACATGGTTTAGTCACATCTGATAATAAAGAACTTTAGGGTACCTAATATCTCCGGCAACAATAGTGAAGTACTCAACAGAACCCAACAATCCTACTTAGTCACCCAAGGTAATGGGTCAGGACTTGAGGGTCCCCTTCAAGAACACTAGGGAAACTGCTTCTGCAGTAAGGAAGTTACCTTTGATGAAGGCTAAAAGGTATCTTGAGGATGTTATTGTTCACAAGCAAGCTATGCCCTTCCAAAGGCATTGTGGTGGTGTTGGTCATTCTGCTCAAGCTAAGAATCATCAGTCAAATGGTCAAGGGCAGTGGCCAATGAAATCTACTCTGTTCTTTCTTGACTTGCTTAAGAATGCTGAGAGCAATGCAGATGTTAAAGGACTGGATGTGGATGCTCTATTTGTCTCCCACATTCAGGTAGCAGAGAAGGAAGAACTTACGGAGGTCATGAAAGGATTAATCCTTATATGTCGTCACCCAGTCACATTGAATTGATTTTTTCTGAGAAGAACCAGTTAAAAGGAGGCTAAAACCCAATTGACTACATGGAAACAAAGAAATCTCAGGCATTTTGCAGTGGTGATTCTTCTTATATGGCAACAACAATAGCTTTTTCTTCAATAGCAGAGAGATAGCAAGTGGTATCTTTATAGAGATTTTGGACTCTGATTTGGGATTCTTAATTTTTATATGTTATTTTGAGATTATATTTTCATCGATTTTAAATTGCATCATCCGGATTTTTATCTTATGGAACTTCAATGTTGTGCCCCTTTTTAAAACTCAGTCAGTTTGTCTTGGTTGTGGTTATTCAATGTTGAGATCCTACCATGTGCTATCGAGGAAAAAAAACCCTGAATTTGATAAAAAGAGAAATAAAAAATAATAAAGAACCTTAAGAAAATGAATTAGTATGTACGGTCTGTAGGCATGAATCCTTGATTAACTGGCTTGGACATCAATCTGCAACATTACTGTCGTTACAACTTCGTGAGGGAGTCTTTCACAAGCACCCTTTGACATCATCAGTGACCGAGGTTAAGGTTTTGGTTATTAGTAATATCCTCTATTCTTTCACTTTCTTCATTTTCTTTCTTAAGCTGTCTATTTCTACATTTTTTTCGATGCCATTAAATCACAAGAAGTTCTCATACTTCAGAGGTACTAGTTTCATTTGTAGGATCTTTACATGGTCAGAGTAGAGTTTTTACTGGTGTGGACTTTGAGTTTTGATCAAGGGGAAAATGCTAGTCAAAATTGGAAAATGCTCTGTAATTTGTTCATCTAACAATTTAACCAGGTATAGATTACAGTCAGTCATCTATCTAATTTGTTATTACTTAGAACTATTGTGTTGAAAGCTTAAACCATCTACTAATTGTTCATCTAACAATTTAACTATGTACAGATTGTTAAATCTAAACCAAAACTTGAGATCTAAAACCATATAGCCATGATTAATTCAAAGAGATTAACAATAATCTAAAGAGTGCGGAAGGTTATACCTGAATCCATAGAATAAATCTTGATTTGGGTTTCAATGATCTTCTAACCTTAGGGTTTCTCTAAATCCGAATTTCTCTTACTAGATGGGGGTGTAGAGAATTAGAGAATGTAACCCTAGGTTAGGGACCATAACCCCTTATTTATAGATGTTGTACTTTTGTAATTTAGCCCCTCAATAAATCACAATTACAACCTGGTATCTGCACATATAACCCCATGACTTATTTAAATACCAAATTAACCCAACTTAATTGATCACTTTAGTGGGTTATCCTGAAAGATAGCAATACACATTGATTAATCATATGTGCCCACAAATAGATTTATTAGATTAAATCCAACAATCTCCCACTTGGGCACCATATGATTCCTTAAATTGTGTATAACCTTATGAGCTCAAAAATTGCTATCACTGAAAAGGTATTTCCGAACAATCTCGTCCATTGACTATATCAATATAGGATCAAAGCGGCCTTCGTCACATTTATCGTGACTCGACCCATCAATGGTCACATATACCAATACAATCAAACGACATAGATCAATCATGGATGTGCAGCATGAAAATTACATGCAATGTGATCAGTACATGTCTATTTTCAACTGGTCCTCCTTAGTGAGGTCAAAACCAAACATAATGTAACAGAGTGTCTTAACTGAAAACTTTATTCTGATCAGACAATACAAACAAACATAAAGCACCACAAATACAAACTCCCACTAAAACATAATATCCTCAAATAATACCACACCCATATGAGCAGTATGCTCATGAAAGACCTTAGGTGGCAATCCCTTAGTAAGAGGATCAGCTATCATGGAGTTTGTCCCAATGTGCTCTATGGATATCTGTCCACTCTGTACCCTTTCTTTCACAACCAGGAACTTAATGTCAATATGTTTTGACTTAGTTGAGCTCCTGTTGTTATTGGAATACATTACTGCAGATTTATTGTCACAATATAACCTTAGTGGTCTTTCAACATTTTTCAAAATGCGCAGTCCCGTGACAAAATTTCGTAGCCATATTCCTTGATTGGATGCCTCATAGCAAGCTACAAATTCTGCTGTCATAGTGGAGGAAGCTACTAGTGTTTGTTTGACACTTTTCCATGATATAGCTCCTCCTGCTAACATATAAATGTAGCCCGATGTAGACTTTCTGCTATCTTGACATCCAGCAAAATCAGAATCCGAATACCCAATGACCTCTAGTTTTTCTGATTTTCTGTATGTGAGCATGTAATCTTTTGTTTTTTGAAGATACCTCATAACCCTTTTGACTGCTATCCAATGATTTATACCAGGATTGCTTAAGTATCTGCCTAACATCCCAACAATGTACGCAATATCCGGACGCGTACATACCTGAGCATACATTAGACTTCCTACAGCCGAAGCATAAGGAATCTTCTGCATTTCCTGAATTTCAAGGTTACCTTTAGGGCACTGATTGAGACTAAACTTGTCTCCTTTAGCAACAGGGGTGTCACCTGGTCTGCAATCTTGCATGACAAACCTTTTAAGTACCTTATCGATATAGCTCTTTTGTGATAATCCAAGAATACCCCGAGAGCGATCTCGATGTATCTGGATCCCTAATATAAAAGAGGCGTCCCCAAGATCTTTCATCTCAAAATTCTTTGATAGAAATCTCTTGGTTTCGTGCAACATGCCTATATCATTAGTGGCAAGCAAGATGTCATCGACATACAGAACCAGAAAAATATACTTACTCCCACTGAACTTGTGATATACACAGTCATCAACAATGTTCATCTCAAAACCGAACGAGATAACTATTTGTTGAAACTTATGATACCATTGACGAGGAGCTTGCTTGAGTCCATAGATGGATTTCCTTAATTTGCAGACCATATTCTTTGGGTCTCCCGACACAAAGTTTTCTGGTTGCACCATATAGATCATCTCATCAATGTCTCCATTGAGAAATGCAGTCTTAACATCCATCTGATGTAACTCAAGATCATAATGAGCAACAAGTGCCATGATTATTCTGAAAGAGTCTTTCGATGAAACCGGAGAGAAAGTCTCTGTATAATCAATGCCTTCCTTTTGAGTATAGCCTTTAGCCACAAGACGTGCCTTATACCTCTCCACATTACCATTTGCATCCAGCTTGGTTTTAAAAATCCATTTACAACCAATTGGTTTTGCACCTTCTGGTAATGGGACAAGTTCCCAAACATTATTGTCTTGCATAGACTTGTACTCTTCATTCATGACATCAATCCACTGTTGAGAGTTAGAATTTTTCATGACCTGAGAGAAGTTGATTGGATCATCTTCCAACATTCCACTACTTTCCTCATGTTCTTGGAGAAATACAATATAATCATCCAGAATAGCATTTCTCCTTTCTCTCGTGGATCTCCTTAATGGCACTGGTTCTTGAGGTTGTTGAGTTTGTTCTTCTGAAACAGGGAGTTGTTCAACATTATCATCTTGAGGTTCCGGATTTACTTCTTGAGCAACAACAGGTCTAGGAACCTGAATATTGTCAAAAGTAACTGTATGGATTGGATCTGAAGTCAATTCCTCCTCAAAACTAATGTCTCTAACCTTATTTCTCCCACCAAATTTAACATCCTCAAAGAATGTTGCTGTTCCCGTCTCAAAAATATTCTTTATAGTGGGATCATAAAACTTATAGCCCCTAGAGCGTTCAGAGTATCCAATAAAATAGCTGCTAACTGTTTTGGAGTTCAATTTCTTTTCATTTGACCTATAAGGCCTTGTCTCAGCTGGACATCCCCAAATATGTAAATGCTTTAAACTGGGCTTTCGACCAGTCCAAAGCTCATAAGGTATTTTAACAACTGCTTTACTTGGTACTCTATTCAGAATGTAAGCTGCTGTCTTAAGTGCTTGTCCCCAGAGTGACTCTGGTAAAGAAGAATGAGCAATCATACTTCTTACCATATCCTTAAGAGTCTTATTTCGTCTTTCAGCTACACCATTCATGCTAGGTGAACCCGGCATGGTGTACTGTGGGACGATACCGCATTCCTCTAGGTATCTAGCAAATGGTCCTAGACGTTGTTCACCTGAACCATCATATCTACCGTAGTACTCACCACCACGATCAGATCTAACGGTTTTAATTCTTCTGTTGAGTTGATTCTC